GGTGGGAATTGAACCCACAACCTTCAGGCCCGAAGGCCAATGCTCTACCAACTGAGCTACTGTCGCCGCAAAAAAAAATACATACAAAAAATAATGATAATAAAAAATAATCACTTTCACTATATAATCATGAATTTAGCTGATTTTATAATTCAAACAATAACAAAAATCTCTATTGGACACCAGAACCAAGCTGATATGAGTCATAGAGCAGGCGGGACTGAGCATTAAGAATCAAATATAAAATTAATTACTCACTTCATCCTAATGTGAAGTCTTAATATTAATTGCTACATTAACCTAAACGTTTTGATTTTACACTGTACACCTGTACAGCTATTATCTTATACTATTTTAAAACACTAATATGATTATTTTGCAAAGCTATGTACAATTTCGGTTGAATTTGCATCTTAGTGGAACATATAGCTAATAAATCTCACTATCGGACTCCATCTCATCCTCTTCTTCTAGACAGTAGTTTACACTCATCCAGCGGCATTGTGTTAATATACTGTTTGGAAATTGCAGCTGCAATCAAAACGGGGGGAGAGCCGGCACATCCCGGTCGTCGTTGGGCCTAGCGGGCGCGCACGCGCCTTCATATGCTCTCAATGCGTGCCCCCTCACCGGTGCCGCTCCCCCCGCTGGCCTCAGTCCCCCGTGGTCTCTGGCTGGCGGTGCTCGTCCTCGTCCTTGGCCCGATCCTGCGTCCTCCTCCTCTGGTCCTCCGTGTGCTCTCTGTCTCGCCTCTCCTCTCGTGCTGCAGTGCCCGCCCCCAATTAAAAGGTCTTGATGATTAAAAACAGGTGTGGGTGATTAGGGGAAGTGTCCAAAGAACTGATTAAAATGCATGCAATAAAAACATTAAAACACAGCAAAACACATGAAAAATAAAAGCAGTAAAAGTCTTTGTTAAAAAGTTCAATCTCTCACAAAGCATGAGCCTTTTTTGGTCCCACAGTGGGGAAATTTCTATATCGGTGCACCCAGAGGCTACTCCACCTCTGCTGCTGTGACCCGTCCTGCTCCACCCAGAGGCTACTCCACCTCTGCTGCTGTGACCCGTCCTGCTCCACCCAGAGGCCACTCCACCTCTGCTGCTGTGACCCGTCCTGCTCCACCCAGAGGCTACTCCACCTCTGCTGCTGTGACCCGTCCTGCTCCACCCAGAGACTACTCCACCTCTGCTGCTGTGACCCGTCCTGCTCCACCCAGAGGCCACTCCACCTCTGCGGCTGTGACCCGTCCTGCTCCACCCAGAGCCCACTCCACCTCTGTGGCTGTGACCCGTCCTGCTCCACCCAGAGGCCACTCCACCTCTGCGGCTGTGACCCGTCCTGCTCCACCCAGAGGCCACTCCACCTCTGCGGCTGTGACCCGTCCTGCTCCACCCAGAGGCTACTCCACCTCTGCTGCTGTGACCCGTCCTGCTCCACCCAGAGGCTACTCCACCTCTGCTGCTGTGACCCGTCCTGCTCCACCCAGAGGCTACTCCACCTCTGCTGCTGTGACCCGTCCTGCTCCACCCAGAGGCTACTCCACCTCTGCTGCTGTGACCCGTCCTGCTCCACCCCAGAGGCCACTCCACCTCTGCGGCTGTGACCCGTCCTGCTCCACCCAGAGGCTACTCCACCTCTGCTGCTGTGACCTGTCCTGCTCCACCCAGAGGCTACTCCACCTCTGCTGCTGTGACCCGTCCTGCTCCACCCAGAGGCTACTCCACCTCTGTGGCTGTGACCCGTCCTTCTCCACCCAGAGGCTACTCCACCTCTGCTGCTGTGACCCGTCCTGCTCCACCCAGAGGCTACTCCACCTCTGCTGCTGTGACCCGTCCTGCTCCACCCAGAGGCTACTCCACCTCTGCTGCTGTGACCCGTCCTGCTCCACCCAGAGGGTACTCCACCTCTGCTGCTGTGACCCGTCCTGCTCCACCCAGAGGCTACTCCACCTCTGCTGCTGTGACCCGTCCTGCTCCACCCAGAGGCTACTCCACCTCTGCTGCTGTGCCCCGTCCTGCTCCACCCAGAGGCTACTCCACCTCTGCTGCTGTGACCCGTCCTGCTCCACCCAGAGGCTACTCCACCTCTGCTGCTGTGACCCGTCCTGCTCCACCCAGAGGCTACTCCACCTCTGCTGCTGTGACCCGTCCTGCTCCACCCAAGGCTACTCCACCTCTGTGGCTGTGACCCGTCCTGCTCCACCCAGAGGCTACTCCACCTCTGCTGCTGTGACCCGTCCTGCTCCACCCAGAGGCTACTCCACCTCTGCTGCTGTGACCCGTCCTGCTCCACCCAGAGGCTACTCCACCTCTGCTGCTGTGACCCGTCCTGCTCCACCCAGAGGCTACTCCACCTCTGCTGCTGTGACCCGTCCTGCTCCACCCAGAGGCTACTCCACCTCTGCTGCTATTGACCCGTCCTGCTCCACCCAGAGGCTACTCCACCTCTGCTGCTGTGACCTGTCCTGCTCCACCCAGAGGCTACTCCACCTCTGTGGCTGTGACTCGTCCTGCTCCACCCAGAGGCTACTCCACCTCTGTGGCTGTGACCCGTCCTTCTCCACCCAGAGGCTACTCCACCTCTGCTGCTGTGACCCGTCCTGCTCCACCCAGAGGCTACTCCACCTCTGCTGCTGTGACCCGTCCTGCTCCACCCAGAGGCTACTCCACCTCTGCTGCTGTGACCCGTCCTGCTCCACCCAGAGGCTACTCCACCTCTGCTGCTGTGACCCGTCCTGCTCCACCCAGAGGCTACTCCACCTCTGTGGCTGTGACCCGTCCTGCTCCACCCAGAGGCTACTCCACCTCTGCTGCTGTGACCCGTCCTGCTCCACCCAGAGGCTACTCCACCTCTGCTGCTGTGACCCGTCCTGCTCCACCCAGAGGCTACTCCACCTCTGCTGCTGTGACCCGTCCTGCTCCACCCAGAGGCTACTCCACCTCTGCTGCTGTGACCCGTCCTTTTCCACCCAGAGGCTACTCCACCTCTGCTGCTGTGACCCGTCCTGCTACACCCAAAGGCTACTCCACCTCTGCGGCTGTGACCTGAAGGGCTGTTGCTGATTATTACTATTGTTAGCTTTTTAGAATGATCATTTTCATTTAATTTTGTATTTTTTCTGCTACTGGACACCCCTACGGGAATCAATAAAGTATCTATCTATCTACATTACAGCTGAATAAAAAGGAGGAAATAAGAGCACTCAGGTTGTACCCGGTTGAACACATCAAAAAGGGTCTATTATTTAAGATAGTAGATAACAAAATAAAATAAAACTCTGAATAAATGTTAGTAATAATAGTAGAAGGTAAAGTGACTAGTGGATTTTCTGAACAGAGTTTGGATGTTTTGTCCTTCACCAGCAACTGAAGGTAGTTGGCTCCCAGTCTGTGGAGGTGTGTGTCTGGGTACGAGGAGAGGCGGCCCTGAACTTGAGAGATCACAGTGTAGAGCTGCAATTAACGATTATTTTGTAATCGATTAATCTATCGATTATTTTTACAATTAATCGAGTAATCGCTTGGCTGTAAATTGTGTAGAAACTAAAAAAAATGTCATCACAAAAAGCTAAAGTGGCAACATTCGAGGACGTACTGATGGCGTAAACTTAAAGTAAATGTTTTTAACAGGCTCTTTGTGCTAATTCTGCTATCTGATTGGATGAGACAGACAGATATTCATGAAATTATAAAAACAAAGTCGGTTTTAATCAAAAATACTACATTTTCATGTCATTTTTGCTCTGTTTGAGTCCGTGTGAACCAGAAAACGATTATTCGATTACTAAAATAGTTGTCGACTATTTCAATAATCGATTAGTCGTCGATTAATCGATTAGTTGTTTCAGCCCTATCACAGTGTGAGGCCCGTAACAGGTCAGACCACTTTTAGTTTTAGAAAAGTTCTATGTACACATAAAAAAATGTAGTACCATTACTTCACTTAAATTAGGTGAAATGTATTTACTGTGCGATAGAACTGAAGCAAACTTGTTTTGTTTGTGATCTATAGCTTTGAAAGGCTTGTAATGAATGAGGAATTATGTGCATTGTTTTGTGCATTTGGCTTCTTAAAAAAAGTTACATTTTTACCAGTATTAGAGGTGTAAACAGGGAACTATTATTGTATGATAATTAATCATTTTCATTTTTTCATTTTCAAGCCCTTTATTGTCCATTTCTGGGTCAGGGGGGTGGCAATGAGAGCTGCCACCCAATGCTCATAGCACCAGTCCCTCACTGATCCTCTGCAGGGGGTGAGTCCACAGGAAGATGGCTGGCTCTGTCAGTGGTGAAACAGCCTTGGTCTTTCATAATTAATCATGAATTAGTTAAACCAGTCTTTATCTGCTGTCTGTCTGTGGATCTGTCATTTCCTGGTTTTGATCTGCATTCTAATGGTTTACTTTCATGATTGGAGGAATTTGTGATAGAAAGTTGTTGAATTCTCTCCAGCTGGACCAGAGGATCTTAGTGCGGATCAGGATTCGATTGTCCGCTCATCATTACACCCATCACTTCTGGCAACACAGATGAGACGGCAAATGTATGAAACAAACTATAATATTTAGACCTGTAATTAGTCACGAGGCTGTGTGACATTTACAAGATACACTTTTCCAAGGGCCCAGAATAACCTTTTGGATGGTTGCAGTGGTAAGGCAAACTTCTACGTTTCAGGGTCATCAATATAAGTATACAAAAAATAACACACACACACATTTCGCCTTCCACGGGAAGTCATCCCTCTCTAAGCTCGGGTCCTCTACCAGAGGCCTGGGAGCTTGAGGGTTCTGTGCAGTATCTTTGCTGTTCCTAGCACTGCACAAAATGCAGCACAAGCTGCTTAAGAAAGCTGTTAAAACTATGATAATTGGTGATGAAAATAAATCATGTTCAATAAGATGCACTTGTGTTTACTGTTTATTCTGTTAAACATGAAAAATGAACGGTTATTAACTGTTTACAGTCAGTAACTTTGTGTCAATCAGTCCAAGCTCTATTTCTCCTTCTTCCACCAGTCACTCAGGCAGACCAGCTTGTTTACATTTTCTGGTGACAAACTAGCTCTCCTCTTCTGCACAATATGGCCTGCTAAAGAAAATAGCCTCTCGCATGGGACCGTTGTGGCTGGAGTCCCCAAGTATTTACGGGCAATGAGGGACATCTTACCATAGACAGCAGTGTGCTCCGACCACCACTTCAGTGGACACTGATCTAGACTGGCACTGTGCTCTACCTTGTACCTCTCCACAGCATTGTCTTCTGGTGTCTCTGAGTCTGAGTCTGAATCCATCAATAGCAGGGCTGTTTTCTTCTTGGGTGGCTCAGAGTTCTCCTCCCTGAGTGGCTGCAGAGCAGTTTCTTCTCCCTTGACCAACTCACTTAGCTTTGCCCACACTAGCTCCCTCTCTGCTCTGGGCAAGCACTTAAGGTCCTTAAATCGTGGATCTAGCGTAGTCGCCACCTTAGATGAATAGAAAACATATATATGATTGATTGAACTTTCCAAATTCAACCTCCATATTTCTTCATGACTCATTCATCTGTTCATTGACTAATCTACTGGCTTAACAGTCTATAATGGTCAAATAATACAGTTATCTTCTGGTCATTCTGACATACCTTAAGCCATTCCAGGTTTATTTTCTCCCTCCGCTGGTTCAGGTCCTTGGTGAAGGCAGCCTTGAATCGCGCAATATAGGCAGGATCATCATCTGAGATCTTCATCACATGCTGGAGGTGGCACAGGGCAGGTAGAACCACAGAGCAGGATACATACTTATTCCCACCAAGGAGCTCAGTGATGAACCTACACAGACAGCTCATTACACATTTTTTCTCACATTACATTTTTACAGTGACATTTAAAAGAACTTGTATACCAATTCATGAACATGCTATCTTTGTAGTCCATACCTGCATGGCTCCAGCAGTTCCGCTAGCTTTGCCAACTTCTCATATTCAGCATTTGTTGGGAGGGCCAGATTCTGCTTCTGCTGAGACAGCACTGTGTGCAGTGCGTCTCTGTTGCGCCTCACGCGCTGGAGCATCTCTAGGGTGGAATTCCACCGTGTTGAAACATCTTGCACGAGTGGCTCCTGAACTTGTCCAAGGGAGGCTTGCTGGACATTCAGCTCGTCTGAGTTGGCCGGACTGTGTTTGAAATGTCCGACCACTTTACGGCACTTGGCCAGTGCGCCATCAAAACCACCTTCCCGAAGAGACATTACAATAGCTCTCTGTACAACATGCGCAACACAGGGCAAATGTTCGAATGGCTGTATTCTCCCTGCTGCCACCATATTAGGAGCACTGTCTGTTCCAATAGTGCTGATTTTGTCAGCTATCTTCCACTGATTAGCGACGTCGAGAAACTGCCTTGCACACGCTTCTGCAAAATGACGCACCTCTGTTTTCATCACACCTAACGGACAGACAAAGTAGATCAGAATAAGTTCACTACTAGTAGTAAACAACTACAAGCAAACATATGTGGTGGTAATTCGTGGTGTTGTGGTAATTAATTTAATCAATCAATCAAATAATTAAATGATGTAGGCGACAGTAGCTCAGTTGGTAGAGCATTGGCCTTTGGGCCTGGAGGTTGTGAGTTCGATTCCCACCATGGGACCTACTCCAACTGCTTGACTTGCACTGATGACTGCTGTTGTTGTGTCCTTGGGCAAGACACGTAACCCCACATTGCCTGAAGCCCCCCGCTGAAAGATCAAGGCTGTTTCACAATTGACGGAGCAGCCATCTTCCTGTGGACTCACCCCCTGCAGAAGATCAGCGAGGGACTGGTGCTATGAGCGTTGGGTGGCAGCTCTCATTGCCACCCCCCCCCCCCCCCCCCCCCTCCGACCCAGAAATGGACAATAAAGGGCTTGAAAATGAAATTTAAAAAAAATGATGTAGGCCTAATTTAAAGTTACTAACGTAGCCTACCTAAAGCGAAGGAGTGAAGCTCCCAGCTGGCATCGATGAAGTGTACAGTAACGCCGAGGTAATCGTTGTTGACAGAGGTCCAGTGGTCCCCAGTCAGCGCCACACAACTCGCCTCTGACATCTTCTTATCTTTTGCGGCTTTCTCTGTGGCGTGCTGGTCATGTATTCTCCTCATGATAGTTCGCCTCGCGGATAGTTTGTAAGAAGAGTCACCTGTGGCCGTCTGGAGAACAAGCTCGAGCCCATCATCTTCAACCACACTGATGGGCCGGCAGCTGGTGGCAATCCACTGAGCGAGGAGATTAGTTAGCTTTGCTGATAGAGCTGTGCTGACGGGCTTGCCTCGGTTGCACTCAAGCATAGTAGTTTGACGACGACTCTTCCCCGGCGCTACATCAGTGCTTGGCCCGGCATCTTCCTCCGCACTAGCTATGGGATGCTTTGCTTTTAGGTGGTACTTGAGACTGGAAGAACTCCTACAGTAAACAAATTCCACTTTTCACAAGGTGCAAACAACCTTTGTCGTAGTTTCCATTGGAAAGCTTCTTAAAAATAAATTTTCCCTGAAGCAAACCCGGTGGCGGCTTTGTAGCTGTATCCATGCTAGCACGTCACGTTTTTTGTGGTAATTTCACAGTAAGCATGCATGTACACAGGTTCGAAGATTCGTTCGCGACCCCTACAATGCAATTCGGCTAGGTATACATGCACGCTAAAGTCATCATAGCTTGCGTAGTATAGATCCCACTCCCAACTCAACTTTGAGAATAGATTAATGCCAATATTTTTTTTTATCGCCCGACAATCAATCATCAATCAATCAAATTTTATTTATAAAGCGCTTTTCATACAATAAGTGTAACACAAAGTGCTTTACAGTTTAGTTAAAAACAATCCAACATGCCCAGCCCTAAACCCTCCTCTCCACAGACCCCCCCAAAACCACATTTATAATTATATATACAACCACATGCGTATACACACACACACACACACACACACACACACACACACACACACACACACACACAAGTATAAAGGTACATCAGGTACAATAGGTAAAACAATAAAAAGAAATGGGGCTGGGAGCAGATGTAACCGGCTGAAGAAGCGCCATCCAAGGAGCCATCTGCACCAGGAGCAGAGAGCCGGCTGCAGCCACAGGGAACGACACAGGACCCAGAGGAGAGAGGGGCCCCAGACCCTACCAGGCCCAGGGCTCAGACCCCATAGGACCCAGAGGAGAGAGGAGACCCCAGACCCCCACCGGATCCAAGAGCCAGACCCCCGAAGCCACAGCAGACCCCAGCTCCCAGTGCAGAGGGCTCCTCCAGAGGAAACACTGGGGACACTAAAACAATACAATAATACAATAGAAAGTAAAATGAGACACTAAAAATAAAAATGGCAGCTGCCTAATATTGATAATAACAATAGTAAATGGGTAGATACAATAAATAATGAAAAATAGTAAATAATAAAAAATAAATAAAAATAGAATGTGTCTAAAAACATAAATAGATGTACTAAAAAGCAATAGTAAATAATAAATACTAATCAAAAGCTACTCTAAAAAGGTGCGTCTTGAGCCTACTCTTAAAAATATGAACGTTCTCTGCGGCCCTGAGCTCCTCCGGCAGACTGTTCCAGAGACGGGGGCCGTAGTGCTGGAAAGATGCCTCGCCGTGAGCGTGTGTCCTGACAAGACTATCGCGTTAACGCAGCACGTTAACGCGATAACGGCCCACCACTAATTTTATATATATATATATATATATATGTATGTCAAGAGCGAGAGAAACATCAACTCTCTGAGCCATGACATCGAGGTGTCATTCACTCAATTCACTCAAGAAATGTAGCAGGATGGAGACTCGGACGTGGCAATTCCAAGCGATGGTAACATCAGGAAAAAAGAGCACAAAAAGTTTGAGAAATATCAAGGGCTCAGAGAGGAGTTGGAGAGGGCCTGGAAGGTAAAGGTGACATCAGTGCCCGTGGTGATCGGTAAAGAATTAATGTGCAGTGCTTATTTTTCAAATAAACATGTCTATTCATATATTTATTTATATATTTATTGTTTTGATCAAGAGCACAAAATTAACCAGATGAACTTAACTTAATAATAAATTTCATTTCATAATTTGCATGTTGAAAGATTTGTGTCACCATGACGATGTCTCATAAGTCTTCTCCCATGGATACGCCATAGCAACCGTTGCCGGGACAACGCCATTTCAAAGCAATGATGTCACAAAGTTCTTATGTCAGACTGAAGCTAGCCAGTGAAAGGCCAGAGACCAGACACAACATGTTATACACATAAGACTCACTTTTTTCACCATAAAAAGTAGAATTTGCCACAACTGCAAAAATGTTTAGAAAACTGAAGAATCTTTTCAACTCTTCCAAGAAACACACAGTCGAAGAGGAAGGATACATTCCTTTCGGCAACTACATCCTTTACTGCGGTGACCTTGACAAAGTCCACAGGGTCACATCAGAGAGAGATGCAGAGAAATTATACAGTCACCTCATCAAAAATAGGTCTGACCTAAACAGGCGCGATAGGAGACACAGAACCCCACTACATCTCGCATGTGCAGCCGGAAGTGAAGACTCCGTAAAGCTCCTGGCAGCGCTCAATGCAGAAATGAATCTTTTAGACGGGTCGGGTAATTCTGCCCTCATGAAAGCGGTGCAAGGAGGTCACGGTAACTGTGTTAAAATCCTCCTGGAGAAACAGGTCAACATCAATATACGAGACGCCAACGGAGATACAGCGCTACATCAGGCAACAAGTCTATCAAACAGGTCCATAGTTACACTGCTTCTAGACAATGGGGCTGACATAGACGCTCAAAATAAAAATGGGCACACTCCGTTAGCTACAGCGATCCTCACAAACAATATTGAGATGGCAAAGTACCTTAGAGAGAAAGGAGCAGATAATAATGTGACTGATGCCAAAAAGATGACACCAATAATGTTTGCTGCTGAAAATGACCAAAGTGGCATTGTGAAACCTTTGACATCTACCTCAAGTTCAGAAGAATCACTAATTGAGCCCCCTGTAATGAAGAGTAAACCAAAGAACCAGGTTCAAGAACGGAAGAATGATTGGCTGCATTCTAAAACCCCCAAGATGGAGGAAACAGCTCAGAGCAAACGCAAAGGAGCAAATGAAAAGACGAAACATTTGGACAGACTACGGTTAATAGAATCATATAATTTGTCAGATTCAGACAGGGACAGCCCTGAAACTTCTGAAGCTTCTAATAAACCAGCTTCTATGATGGTAAAGAAACCCAAGCACCTGCTTAAAGAAAAAGGGAGTGACTCTGTGCATTTAAAAAACCCTTGCATGGAGAAAAATGCTTTGAGCAAACACAACAGAAAAATTGAAAAGCCAAATGTTACAAAAAAACCACAGTTGATGGATAAAGATAGTTTATCTGATCAATCAAACTGGGACAGCTCTGAAACTTCTGAAGCATCTAAAAAACCGGCTCCTATGATGGTAAATAAACCCAAGAACCAGGTTCAAGAAAAAGGGAGTGACAATGTGCATTTGACTAATCCTTGCATGGAGAAAAGTGCTTTGAGCCAACACAACGGAGTAAATGAAAAACATAATGTTTCACAAATACCACAATCGACAGATGAAAATACTTCATCTGATTTATCAGACTGGGACAGCTCTGACACTTCTGAAGCTTCTAAAAATCCGGCTCCCATGGTGGTAAATAAACCCAAGAACCAGGTTCAAGATAAAGGGAGTGATGACATGCAGTCTAAAAACCCTGAGATGAAGGAACAAACTCAGAGCAAAAACAAAGAAGCTTCTGTAATGAAGAAACATACAGGGAAACTCATAGAAGCACATAATTTTTCTGATTCAGACGGTGACAGCTCTGTTCTTTCTGAAGCTTCAAACAAAGCGGCTCCAGTGAAGGATAAAATGTCTGCACAGTCTGCAGATACCCCTAAATGTTCAAACAATAATGTCTCTTTAAATCCGCCATGCTCTGCAAAGATGTCAGGGTCTCACAACTCTGACCAAGTCAAAGACAAACAGGAGAGGATACAAGTGGAAAATTCTCAGCAAGAAACAAAAGCAAACGTAGGACACAGTTTGCAACTAGAAAATGAGGTCTCAAAACTAAAATTTCAGTTGACAGAGGAACTGAAACACAAACAGGCGCTGGCCACGCAGGTCGAAGAGCTGGTGAGTTCTCTTATATCTACTGAAGAAAAGTTGGTGTCAGAGCATGAGGCCACAAAAAAATGCCTGTCCGTGGCTCAAAGTGAATGTCAGTTATTGCAAGACCAGCTGCAGGCCACAAACAAATGTGTCTGTGAGAAGAGGGTCGAACAAGTGAAGGTGCGGAACAATAATCTGCTCAGAGAGGCCACAGAACTCAAAGACCAAATAATGAGGTTAAAGGAGGAGAAAAATGACAGAGAGGCCAGTCTACAGCAAGTGCAGCACGAACTGTCTGATACTCAAAATGATCTGACCAAGAGTCAAGCTTCTTTGAACGAGAAGAATGTTCATTGCAAAAGCCTGGAGCAGGAAAATGTCAGCCTTCTAAAGAAAATGGATCGACTTCAGAAAAAACTGGCAGAGGTGGAAAACCAGTCTGTCTTTCTGAGGAACTGTGTTGAGGAAAAAGAGAAGGCATGTGTAATTGCAACACAGAGACTCAAGGAGGAAGAGTCCACCTCAGCTGCTTCTTCTGCCACCATCAAAAATCTAGAGGAGGTGGTACAAAAGTTGAAGCTAGAAATTATTCAACAAGAAACAACTGTAAAAACGCCAGTCCTACAAAATTGAGGTCCAAGAAAAACAGACACAGGAGTCTGTCGTGATCAAGCAAGATTTAGAAGAGATGGTTTCAAATCTCCAAAGTAAACAAAATCAGAGAAGATTGTCACCCAGGGGTCAGAGATATCAGGCTTTATGGGAACAGGAAGTGGAGAACACCTCATGGTTAAGACGGCAGGTGTTAGAGCTTGAAACGAAAAATGGTGAACAGTCCTCATTGCTAGAAAGAGTGAAGGCAAAGGCAAACAAAATTCTGGAGCAGAAAAAGGTTGGGGATGCTAGTTTGAAACAAGCGATCACCAAAAATACTGAACTTCAGGACGAAATATGCAGGCTGCGCACTCAGGTCAAAACGGCCAATACAAAAACACATGAAAAGAACATGAGAGTAGAGGGCATCGACATGCACACACCAGTGCAGTGGACAGAAAGTGTCAACAACTGGAAGTAGACATTAGCGACCTGCGTAAAGAGCAGATGTCTCTGAATGTCTTACTTGAGCAGAGTGAAAGGAGTAGTAAGGAGCTGAGGACAATGATGGAGGTCACGCAGAGAGGGCGCAAATGTGATGAGGTGACAGATAGACAGAAATTGCAGACCAAACTGAACCAGGTCAACAGCATTCTAAGGACTGAACAGGCCTCTCGGGAGGAAAAGCCATTCTGGATGGAACAGAGGATCTCAGAGCTGGAGAAAGAAGTGGTCCGGAGACAATCCAGCGAACAGGAATGCCTCAGCCGCCTGAATTTCACTAATACAGAACTGGAAAAGTACAAGATCAAGTACTCTGAAGAGCGACACAAGCGCTTGTGGTTGTAAAACCACTAAAGGCTGAGATGTAAGACAATTTGATTAGCCTTCATTGTCTAACGCAGTGTTTTTCTTGAGAAAAAAGAAAAGACACCTGGGCTTCCATCTGGATTCAGATCTGAGTGGAGATTCCCATATCGACCAGATGGTGAAGAAGGCTTCAAAGCGCCTCCACTTCCACACGGCCCTTAAAAGACGTCTACCACAGCAGGACCTGTTGACCACACTCCACACTGGTGAGACCGTGTCTGGAGTTTGGGAGAGTCCTTCTGTAATAAAAAGGAAGCAGCAGAGCTGGAGAGAGTGCAGGAGAGGCCCCTGTGCTCTGGAGCTGCCATCACCGCAGAGCAGGAGAGAGGAGGCCGCAGTAACTTGGTCCCAAACATGGGTCACAGTGAGCACCCAGTACATGAGCTCCTCCCCAAGACCAGAGGACAGAGCTCGCAGAGACATTTGAGGAACAACGACAACTTTTCAGAATTTCACTGTCGCACAAACAGCAGAATTTACACAAAGTGTCATTTCTGTTGTTGTTTTTTAACTTTTAGCTGTAAGCATGAATTAAACCAACTTAAAATTAACTTAAAAATATTAAATATGGGTCCTGCGTTGAATGAACCAGGACACATATTTGATCAAATCAATAAATAAATAAAACAAAATTATTGCACCCCTTGTCCATTCTCATGATTTAAAACACACCTTGGTGAGATTGAAATGAACTGAAATGTCTCGGCCTGCTCAAATTTTATGACCTGAATGTAAAAAAGTCCCAAAGGGAAAGTTTCTGTTGGCGATGCCGTTGTACAAGTCACCAATGGAGTAATTTTGGGTTAGAACTGGCCCGAGCGCTCTGTATGAAGGTTATTCTGTGTTTTTATTATCAACACTTTTTTTTGCTTTTGAATTCTATAAACTGTAACAAAAAAGTATTCAGTGTAAATAAATTCAATGTTTTAAAATTCAATGTCCAAAAATTCAATGTTTTAAAATTCAGTGTCAAAATATTCAATGTTTTAAAATTCAGTGTCCAAAAATTCAATGTTGAAAAAAATTCAGTGTCCAAAAAGTCGTTGCATTTTTTTTCGCTGCTTGAAATGTCATGCTTTATTTCCGGGTAAATCAAGACAGAAGCAATCGATCAGCCAATCCTCCATAGATGTAGCCGGGGCCAGAACACGACTTGTCTTGTTCATCTGAACATGGCGTCCACAGCAAACCAGTAAGTGTGTTTTCTCATCATTAGTTGGTATGTAACACGCAAACCACTACTGTATGTACTTTCTGAACATGTTTTTACCTTAGCTTATCATTAGCTAGCTCCGCGTAGGTGGCTTCTACGTTTTGGCGATTCCCCAAAGCTAATCTTCGCTAATGCTAAGCTCAAATGAAACGCAGGAAAGCCAAGTACACGGGGGTTTGCGGTTCTCGTGTGACATATGTACTATGTTCCCAATTTCAGTGTGTATATTATTCTAGCAGTGCAGCAAGGACGAAACCTGCTGACTGTTTAGAGACAGAGCATGCTAAGGGGTTGTTGTTAATTATGTTGTTCATTTTTATGTATCTACACCTCCGATAATTATTCTATCTTTACTCTTAAATGTTGACATCTTAGTGAAACCAAGATGGAATGAAGGATCGGTTCTTTAGGGAGAAAACAAACCCATGGATTCAATATTAATGCTACAGAGAGGAATCAGACTGATAGATATGGTTTTAATTGAGTATATTTGTAAATCCCACTTGTTACGTGCATCAGAGTTGTCTTTCCCTGTGTGCTGCTGTTCTCTCCCTTCTGCTTCTGTGTGAAGGTGCTGTGGGCGTGCCCTGGAGGAGGATGGTGCATGATTGGTGGAGTGGGGGCAAATTGGAGAGTATTTAAACGGGGAGTGTCTTGGGCGGCTCTCTCTCTCTCAGGTGCCAGAAGCTGCCAGGTGGTAGCCTAATTTGTTTCTGTGTGGAGGTTTGGTTAGGTGAGTTTGGTGCTAAGTTACGTTTACAACACGTAGATACTTTTGTTAGATTCCCTAGCTTATCAGTTGTGACCACCCTTGTTGTTTTGAGTTCTACTCCACTTTTCTTTAGATAAAACAGAATAGACATTTTTTATTTCATTTCTTTTATTAGACTAGCCTGTGAGTTAGGCCTCTTTTGTTATATTTTACTTTTGTTCTTTTGGCACAACTGGGCGACGCCACTCCTCCCACCACTGTTATTTCTTTTTAGTTTGGCTCTTAAATAAAGACATTGCCAAACTCCTTAAGTGACTCTGTGTTTCAATGATTGTTTCACATATCCCTGTTATGACTGGTGTGGGTCCTTAACTGGTCATAACACCACTCTACCAGCCTCCTGTTAAAGACTGGACATGTATTTACATTTACTGTTGACATGTTAAGTTCATGTGTGTGTTTGTAAAGGCATCGTACTTCTGCTCCTCCTCAGAGCGTCTGTTTCTACTCTACTACTGTGTATTTATATTCATTAATTTGACTGGGACAGTACATGTATATGAACATATATGTCGACATGTCTGATTGTAACAAAAGGCTCATTTTAATCCCAGAAGAACCGGGTCTGTTTAAATTAATGATTTTTTTGTGTGAATTTCTTTTCCAGAGGCAGCTGTCTTCCAGAGGCATCATTTCTTCATCCATTTCCATCACCTCCAGCTTCTGTGGATTACGATATAAACTACAACCACCAATATGTTCATTTGTTTTATTAATTAAAAGTCATGGATAGTTAGAACACAACTCATTTTCTGAAGACATGCAGCAGTAGCAGCAGTAACAGCAGCAGCAGCAGTAACAGCAGCAGCAGCAGCAGTAACAGCAGCAGCAGTAACAACAGCAGTAACAGCAGCAGTAACAGCAGCAGTAACAGCAGCAGCAGCAGTAACAGCAGCAGCAGCAGTAACAGCAGCAGCAGCAGCAGTAACAGTGACAACAGCAGCAGCAGCAACAGTGACAACAGCAGCAGCAGTAACAGCAGCAGCAGTAACAGTGACAACAGCAGCAGCAGTAACAGCAGGTGCCTGGACGTCTGCCTCTGACTGTCTTTTCTACGGTGGACTCATCACAACCTGGAATAAAATAAAATTATGATTTAGTTCTTTGTGTGCAATGAAAAGTGATGTATGCGTTTTTTTATCCAACCACACAAACCGTGAGAAACAAGTTTCATAGCTTGTATTTAAGTACTACTTTTAATCTTAAATACATTTAAGCCATTAACTCTGACATGATCAGGTCTGTTGGATTTCAAGAGGCAAGGAGCTTGTGCTCAAAAAGTTAGTGATGGCAATATGAAGCCCCATGAAGCCTTGAGGGATAGCAGCCTATTACTCGGCCCATGAGTCGAAGGCTCAAGGTGAATCATGCTCCACTACGCCATCATGTGGACAAAGAAATACATAACACTCTTAAGTGCTTACAATGAATGGTGAGATCTAATGTTAAAATGTATATTTACAATCTATGGTCTAACGTGTTGTGTTTGAAATGATGCTTCATGAACTATGAACTATTTGAGTCTTTCAGTCAATTGTGTTGATACAACAAACACATCCAAAGTAATACAGTTCTACAGAAAGTGATTAATGGAGGAAAAACTACCAAGAGGTGGATTAATTAAACACAACAAACCATTTATTCCCAATAAATAAATACATTTACTTTGCAACACAAAATTTATTATGGGTAGACCGGGATTCGAACGCTATATCTTCTGCTTCGGAGTCCGTCATATACCGACTGTGCCACACAGCTGTTGTGAAATGTATCATCCAGCGTATTATTACTAATAACTTGAAGCCTTGATATATGAGGTTTTACTAAAGTGAAACGTTTTTAATTGTATTTCATATGAAGTAGTTTCTCTATACTTAGTACAGGACTGCTCCACATCACGCACACACACGTACGCACACACACGTACGCACACACACGTACGCACACAGAGGCAGACGGGGACAGCCAATACAGTCTATGGTACAGCCGCGGATCACAAAGCACCTGTCAAAGCAATGCACTCTCCGAACTATATAAAGCACTATATGAACCGTGACGTGGTGCGGCCGCTACGCGAGGCTTCGAACGTCACCACACACGTGACCAATACACGCCTCGACCCACACTTCACAAGAAACGCCCCCAGATTACTCGGTCCACGCTTCGAAGACTCGGTCCGCTCAGCACATCACTACAAAAAGTACTCATGACCTTAAATCTGGTCTGTAAGTTCAAGTCCATGCGTCTTCTGTGTCCAGCTTCATGTTCACAGATGTCCCCCTGCACATAATCACGTTTGTACTTAATACAAATTACTTACAACAAAGTGATGCACAAACGAGGGCCATAGCAAATCCATCAATCGCACTAAACACATGCATTATTTACATGAAATATCACATTTTTAAGACTAATGATTACTCTTAAAACAATTGTTATAACAGAGAAAGTATGATACAAAAGCCGCCTTTTTGGGTTTTCATAATTACTTCCACAGTTAAGACTGTTAGCATAAGGGAGCTCTCAAAATGACTCCCAGGGCATGACGCTCCATTCTGGGCATCAGCGCAGCTCTACACCCGTGGTTAGCGTGTTAGCACTGGAGCTCAAGGCTGGAGAAAAAGTCCAAAGAAAATCTGTTTAATCACCAAACAGACCTCTGATATAACAATAGAAGGGGGTATTTCCCACCTCCAATGTTAATACAATTAAATGTTATGTCCTAATTAAAACGTAAATTCAACTTTTACCTTTACCTCATCATGGCCGCTCCTCTCTCCACTCCGTGATCCACGCTACAGCGGGACGCTCACGTACAACAGCACGGCCTGATAATAGTGCAGCGTCTGAATCACCATCAGAATGAGTCCACTCACTCAAGTCACTCACTCACTATATATGTACTGTACTACTACTATGTAGTGAGTGAGTTAATAGGGTATAGTGCGGACATTCGGATAAAGCCAAAGTCGTGTTCTGGCCCTGGCTACATCTATGGAGGATTGGCTGATCGATTGCTACTGTCTTGATTTACCCGAAAATAAAGCATGACATTTCAAGCAGCAAAAAAAAATGCAACGAATTTTTGGACACTGAATTTTTTTCAACATTGAATTTTTGGACACTGAATTTTAAAACGTTGAATATTTTGACACTGAATTTTAAAACATTGAATATTTTGACACTGAATTTTAAAACATTGAATATTTTGACACTGAATTTTAAAACATTGAATATTTTGACACTGAATTTTAAAACATTGAATATTTTGACACTGAATTTTAAAACATTGAATATTTTGACACTGAATTTTAAAACATTGAATATTTTGACACTGAATTTTAAAACATTGAATATTTTGACACTGAATTTTAAAACATTGAATATTTTGACACTGAATTTTAAAACATTGAATATTTTGACACTGAATTTTAAAACATTG